TTTGCATGCATGGGTGTGTGGCGGGTGCTTACAGCTGGTGAAACAGACCCGCACTCCTGCTATGCCCTAAGGGTGGGTCACTCCAGTCTGGTCTGGTCTAGTTACAGGAGACAGCAGAAACCAGAGAAAAACCGTCAGCACGTGTGAACCCCATTTCCCATTTCCAGGCTGCTGGAGGCTTGGGGGGGCGCAGAATCCTCCCATCTTGATGCAGAAACTGGGGCCATGGTGGGAGAGGGGCTGCAGCAGGCGGGGCAGGAGGGCTTCCAGGCGGAGAGATGCCAGCAGCTGACCAGACACGGTGAGCACCAACGCACCAGCGCCCAGAAACCGCCCGCAGCAAGTCTCTGGCCTGCTGGACAGACCTGAGGTCCCTGAGCTCGTGCCGTTGTTCTTCGGTTGAAACCACAACTCCTGGGCCCCACCCTGCTCAGCCCTGCCCCGCCGCAGGCCCCGCAGACCTGGAGACCAGGGAGGAGGCAGGCTGGAAGGGGTGTCCAGGGCCACAGAGACATGAGGCGCCTGCTCCCGGGCCGTTAGCCGTCCCCATGGCTGGGCGGGTTACCTCTTACTAGGGGGACAGGGAGACGACAGGACCAGGATCCTTGGGTTTCTCAGGGGCCGGCGCTGAGGCAGGCGCCCCCTGGATAAGCAGTCAGGTCAGGCCACAGTGTTCCCGCACAAGCCCCAAAGCCATGTGGCCAGCCCATGTCGTGCAGGACTTCTCCTCCTGCTTCTGCAGTTTGCTCAGCGAGGAGCCTGGCCCGGAGCGCTGCAGCTCAGGGCTCCTGTTCTAGAGGCCGAGGGGCCCAGGCAGGCCGAGCGAGGACACGGCACGCAGAGAGGCAGTCAGCATCGAGTCCACTCGGCAGCGAAGGAGCCCTGGGGTACTGTCCATCACAGCCACGGAAGGGCTTGGGGGACTTCCAGAGCAGTCGGACCAGCTCTGGCTGCAAGGAGGGCTCTGTGTGGAGAGTGGGTGTGAACAGGACATTCAGCCCTTGCAGCTGTCTGGCCGCATCTTTGGGGCACAGCACCCCCACTTCCGGGAAGGAGGCGTGCAGGGACCCTCACCATCAAGCAAGGCCCGATCAGCTGCTTCCCGGCCCTGCCAGGACGGGGGCTGTGCTGGAAAGAACAGGGCAGGGAGGGACACAGGGGATCGGGACAAGGGGCGGCCCTCAGCAGCAGGTGGGAAGGCGCTGCCTCAGCCGGTCTCCAGGCAGTCCCTGGCCCCTGGCCCCGAGGGCTGCCGGAGGACAGAGGGGTGGGGATGTGCTTTGCCCAGGCCCCAGCCGATGGCCGGCTTCCCTCTGAAGTGAGCTTCCAATGCCCTGCTCACAATGGGGCTGCATCCTCAGGGCACCCCTGAGTCCCGCCAGGCAGGCGCCTAGCTGCTCGGCTGCTGTTGTTCCTCCGCCGTCACCTGAGCGCTCACATACTGGGCTGTGCTGTGGTCAAGCCAGGGCCCACTAGGGTTCCAGCACTCTCATCACAGCTCCCACAGCCCGGCACGCTGGACGTGGAGACCTTCTAATACGGCGTACACGCGTGGAGCAGATGCCACGCTAGTCCTGGAAGCCGAGGGCGGGGGGTGGACAGCAGCTCTGGACCAGGCTGGGGAAGGGGCAGCAGCGGTGTCTGGCACGGGTCAGGGAGGCCGGGGAAGCCGCTGCCTTGCCGGGGAGCTTCCTGGAGCTGCCGAAGGTGCTGCGGAGGGGCCTGCTGTGTGACTCTACGTGTGGAGTGCTGCAGGAAAGGAGAGACTCAAGCAGCCTTCCGGAGGTGGAGAGGGTGCGGGTCAGAGGGCGTGCAGCCAGGAAGGGTGAGGGTTGCTGCTGTTACCAAGGAAGTCCTGGGAGGAGGCCGGTCTTGGGAGCCACCGCAGAGAACGTAGCGTCGAGTGTCTCGGTCAGCAGGGTGCTGGGGGATGGGGAGGGCCCTGAAGGTCAGGTGCCAGATGCCAGGCCAGGCCAGGCTGTGGGAGTCGCTGGCGTGCTGGACGGAGGGCCATGCACCTGGAGCACATCTGGGTGTCCCTTAAGACTGGTTTTCAGTAGAGCATCGCTGTGGGACCCCACAGTCCCCAGGTCATCCTATCTCTTCAGGGCACAAAGTGACGGTCCGAATGGAGGACCCAGCCTCATGTACTGGGATTGTGGTCCAGTTAGGTGATGAGGGTGCTGCCACAGAAGCCCACCGGAGCCACCAGCAGGAGGTAGGCCCCGGGGACGGGTCCACTGGGTGGGTGCTTCTGCACATTCTAAAGGTACAGGCGGCCTTTGGTGTGTGGTGAGCATGGTGGCGTGCCGTGAATAATCGTAGCACTTCCGGGATGGGCCGGATCAGAACTGAGGGGCTAGAAGCCACTTCGCCCTCATACCACTTGGCTCGAGCCCAACAGCACGGGACCATGACCGCGGGTGCTCCTCTGCTGAAGGGGGAGGGTGAGCCCTCATCTGTAATAATGTTAGTCCCCAGACTTCAACAATGAAATTGCCAAGTGAAGAACTCACCTTGAAAAAACATTCTAATTTATTATAACGAAGGTCCGGGGCTTGGGCATTTTTACTGCAGGTTCCTAAGTGAGATTTTCCATAGTGAGTTCTCCTGTGCATCTTGGTAGACCACACACTGCTGGCCCTGGGCATGGCGCGAGCGCCATCAGACAGCCAGCTCGTCTCTGAGGACGGGGCTGCCTCCGCTCCCTTCTCCTGCGGGGACTCCCATCAGAGACTGTCCGTCCATGGAGGCGAGTGCAGCACTGTGCCCACCCCAGGCCTTGTGGGGACAAGTCACGGTGCCCAGAGGCAGGGGCAGCCCCGAAGGGGTCTCTTCCACGTGGTGGGATGCTCCCAGCAGGGCCCGGGCTCTCTCCAGAAGCAGGCCGGCCTCTGGACATCGTGGGGAAGAAGCCAGGAGGCTGTCCTGACCCCAGCCTTCCCAGATGAGCCACTCCACCATGCCCCGAGGGGCTGGGTGTGGCTTCCCACCCTCCCCAGTCTGGTCCGTTTCTGTGGAGCCAGTCTGGACTTTGCCGTGGACAGAAGCAGACTGAGCCCTGGGCGAACCATCCTTTCATTGTAAAGGTGACAACTGTAGGTGGAGTTCCAGGGCCCCAGAGGTGCCTCCTAACATCCCTGCTCCCAGCGTCTGCGGAGCCTCAGTCAGGGTGGTGCTGCTCTTCCTCCTGTACTGCTGGCCAGGGGTGGCCTGGGCCAAGCCTCAGGTCAGGTTTACTCCCAAGGCCGAGCTGGGCTCCAGGCCACAGCGGCTCGAGGTGTGCCGTGCTCCTCTAATCCCAGCACCCTCCAGGCAAAGCGGAGAGGCTGGGAGGAGGGTGCCGCGGCTGCGGCTGTGCCCATCGGTGCTGCCCGGTCAGCCTGCCCCGAGCCCCAGGTGGCATGGCCTGAGCTCCGCCTCTGGTGAGGTGGGCGCTGGGTGCCATCTCCATAACTGCTGGCGTGCAGCAAGGGCGGGCTGGGGCCACGTCTGCCCAGGTTGGCCGCGTGAGCGGGGAGGGGCTGCCTTCCTGAGAAGGGGCGGACCCACCTGCTCCTTCCAGGTTCCTCTCCTCTGGGACACGAGTCCGGTGGGTGGGGGCCCCTTCCAGACTCCGTCTCTGGGTCCCGGCACAAAGCAGGCCTGGCACTGAGGGTGGGCACCTGGGAGCTTTCTACAGGGCAGCCGTGTACAGGCCAAGCCCACTGGGGCCATCTGTGGGAGCCATGGGCAGCAGGGCGGTGGCAGAAGTCGGTGTTGAGGGCTGGAGAACCCAGCCCAGGGGGCTCTGCTGGACACGGCCCAGAAGCCCACCGCCAGGTCACGCCACTGCAGCAGGTGCATAGGGGCAGTGACCACACACCCCTGTGGGGCCGGGGCCTGCGGAGCCGAGGACAGCCACGGCCTCCCGTCCTCATCGGCTCCCCAGGCCTGTGTGTCCAGGAGGGGCTGTGGAGGCGGGGCGGCCAGGGAGGCCTGTGCTGGGAGGTGGGGCGTGAGGGGCAGCGCCACAGTCAGGGCGGGCCGCGGCCCCAGGGGGGAAGAGTGAGGCTCGAGCCAGCGCACCCCGTCACAGGTGCTTGGTGGGTGGTTTCTGAGGGAGCGTGGACGTGAGAGGCTGGGGAGGAGGGCAGGAGCCCAGGAACTGACAGCTGGGTACAGCCGGGGGCACAGCTGCTAGCCCGACCTGGAGGCCGGGCGGGCACGAGGCATACGTGGGGTGAAGACGAGACGCGGGCGCTGCGAGAGCTGTAGGAGCCAGCTGTATCCCGGCCTGGCTGTGGAAGGGGACTGTGTCTGCCGTCTGCTTCCGGGTGGGGTCCTGGGACTTGGGGGCCATGTCTGCTCCCGCATGGGGTTCTAGAGGTGTCTGCTGTGTGCTCCCAGGACCTAGGGGCCACATCTGTTTGTGCTCCCGGTGGGGTCCCAGGACTTGGGCACTGTGTCTGCCGTGCCTGGGTGGGGTCCCGGGGCCTGGGTACATGTGTCTGAGCAGACGGTGGAGAGGGCCTGGGGAAAGGAGCTGGCATACAGGTAGAAGCTGAGCAGGGTGCTGAGGACGCAGGTTCTGTGTAGGTAGGTAGAGGGACGGGAGGGGGGCCCCAGCCACAGGTGTGGGGCTGGAGCCAAGGACGGATGAGTGAGGTGGTCCAGAACCTCGGGGTGAACGCTGACCCCTTGTGCCTGAGCTGCCCCGCATGGACTGTGCCCATCGCGGAAGGACCGGGCTGCACGGGAATGACACAGAGGAGTGGGGGATGGACTGTGATCCCCACCCTAGGCCAGGTCCATGGGCTGTGACAGGGTCACCAGGAAGGGCCTGACTCTGGTTTCTCCTGTCACATCTGCCCTCGGGCTCAGTGTCTGCCAGCTGCCTCCAGGGACAAGCCCAGCGCACAGCTGGGACAGAGAGAGTAAGGCGGGCCCTGCCTCCTGGCCCCTGGGTGCCCCGGGCTCTGAGGCCCCTGCACCCCTGATGGTGGTGGCATGGCACTCACCTGCGGGCCGTCCTGGTAGGGGGGTGCGGGGACGCTTTGTGTAGCCATCATGGTCAGAGCCGGGGCTGGGGCGGCATGTTGCATCATGGGCCAGGCTCACATGGAGGACCTGTGGGGAGAGAGGCCGCGCTGTTAGCAGGCAGTGGCCTGGCCAGCCATGGTCTGTCGGCTGGAAGCCGACTGGGAGGAACAGAGGAGCCTAAAGGGGGAGGCCTGGGGCAGCTGGCTGGGCTGCTGGGTCTACTGGAGACAGTATTCAGATCAGATTCAAATCCACCTGCCCCTGCTGTGAGCTCTGTTCAGAGCCGCCCTTGGGGTGTGGGGAGGGGACAGCGCAGGCACCTGGTCCCAGGGACGGGAAGGCTGCAGGTCCCACCTCTGGCCCAAGGTTTCCAGGCGCCAGGCCCGTCCCCAGGCTATAACCCAAAGGATACCTGTGGGTCCTGGGGGAGAGGGGGGGTGTCAGCCCCCAGGTCTCCAGCTCCGGCTGTGGCTGGGGGGTCCATGGTTGCGGATGAGTGCCCCCCGCCTTGCTCCACTGGGGTCACAGCAGGTGGGGGCCGAGAACTCTCAGCAAATGGCCCATCAGCCTCTTACACAGGAGGGACAGAGGCCAAGAAGAGTGATGTGTGTGAGTGTACATGTGTGTGCATGTGTGTGCGTGCATGTCTCTGTGTGTGCGTAGTGGGGTGCTTGTCAGTGAAGCTGGGACACAGACATCCCCAGATGGCAGCTGCCCCACTGTCCCTCCCCCGTCTCCAGCAGTGTCCCCAGGGCCTCCAGGCTTTCCTCCTGAACCACATGGGGCTGTAAGTGAAGCTGTCCTGGCAGCCGCCGAGGACAGGGCGTCCAGAGCTGGAGCGGGTCCCCTGAAATATTTAGGCTGGAAACTGCAGGTGAGGTGCCAGAGATGGGCTGCTCCCCAGGACAGGAGACGGCCGAGCTGGGGAGGGTGCCCAGAGCTGGAGTGGGTGCCCTGAGGCGTTTAGGCTGGAAGCTGCAGGCGAGGTGCACATGCGGGCTGCTCCCCGGGGCAGGAGACTGCAGAGCGGGGGACGGGTGCTGGGGTGCTGGCAACCTGTGTTAGCACCCCGATCTCTGGCACTCAGGGCTGCATCCTGGTCCAGCCTGGCCTTCCTAGGCCCTCCAGAATAAGCGAAGGGCGGCTGGCCAGCGCCGGGCATGCAGGAAGGGGGAGCCTACTCCGGCCACCCCTGGTCCCCAAAGTCCAGGCGTACATCTAGAAAGCACCAGGAGGCATGGCTGTCCACAAGGTGTTTACCAGCTCTGCAGAGGCTGGTGCTGGGGCAGGGGGACAGGGAGGTGAGCTGGGTCCCGGTACAAGCGCAGGGAGTCTGTGGGCTTTCCTACAGCCCGCCCCGGCAGCCTCACCGCAGAAGCCCCGCCCCACACCACCTTGCCCCTCAGCACACGGGTCTGGCCACTGCACGCACGTGGGACCCCGAGGCCCAGCACGTCTGAGCCCAGGAGTTCAGACAGACCACGCGGAGGGCCCTTCTTTGACAAGGGCCTTCTCCATAGCGGGGTCTGTGTGGGCGGGGTTGGCACGGGTCCGGGAGAGCAGAGCAAGGGCTCCAGAGGGACGGGGGTGCCTGAAGGAGCCCGCAGAACAGGGTGGCCCCTGGCGTGTCCAACGGAGTGGAGGTACAGGGACAGCCTTTCCTGCAGCCGCCGCAGGGCCCGGTGGGCCGCCCGGCAGCTGGACCCGCAGTACCGCAGCCTGCATGAGGGGCAGGGCAGTGCAGCTGGGGAGGAGATGGTCCCGGGACACAAGGGTCCCTCTCACCTGAGGCTGGGGCTTCCGGCAGCATTCCCAAGGCAGGGCCACAGCAAAGGCGAAACCCTGGGCACTCGGGAGGATGGGCTGAGGAGGAGTCCCCACTTTTATCCGACCGTCCCAAGGGTGGGAGGGTCCCTAGAACCTGCAGCAGCCTGGGTGCCCTGCACAGTTCAGAGGGACGGCTGGAGTGGTCCGTGCCCTGGGGAACACCCACCCCCCCACTCAAAAGGAGGCGTTCCAGTCCTGAGCCCTGGGCGGAGTAGCCAGGTCACGATGGCAGAGGACAGACCAGTGATTTTCTGAGGACCCAGCTGGCTCCTGCCCCTGCAGACCCCTGGGACCATTGCAAGTCCCTGGGCCATGGCCCCACCACCCTCCGGGCTTCTGCAAGAGAACAGGGGCCTGTGTGTGGGGTTGGGTCTCCTCCGCGCAGGCAGGTACTGCAGCTGCTGCAGGCTGACACAGGGGCCCAGCAGGCCCTGCCCCTACCCTGCCCTGCCCCTGCCCTGCCCCTGCCCTGCCCCTGCCCTGCCCCTGCCCTGCCCCTGCCCTGCCCCTGCCCTGCCCCTGCCCTGCCCCTGCCCTGCCCCTGCCCTGCCCCTGCCCTGCCCCTGCCCTGCCCCTGCCCTGCCCCTGCCCTGCCCCTGCCCTGCCCCTGCCCTGCCCCTGCCCTGCCCCTGCCCTGCCCCTGCCCTGCCCCTGCCCTGCCCCTGCCCTGCCCCTGCCCTGCCCCTGCCCTGCCCCTGCCCTGCCCCTGCCCTGCCCCTGCCCTGCCCCTGCCCTGCCCCTGCCCTGCCCCTGCCCTGCCCCTGCCCTGCCCCTGCCCTGCCCCTGCCCTGCCCCTGCCCTGCCCCTGCCCTGCCCCTGCCCTGCCCCTGCCCTGCCCCTGCCCTGCCCCTGCCCTGCCCCTGCCCTGCCCCTGCCCTGCCCCTGCCCTGCCCCTGCCCTGCCCCTGCCCTGCCCCTGCCCTGCCCCTGCCCTGCCCCTGCCCTGCCCCTGCCCTGCCCCTGCCCTGCCCCTGCCCTGCCCCTGCCCTGCCCCTGCCCTGCCCCTGCCCTGCCCCTGCCCTGCCCCTGCCCTGCCCCTGCCCTGCCCCTGCCCTGCCCCTGCCCTGCCCCTGCCCTGCCCCTGCCCTGCCCCTGCCCTGCCCCTGCCCTGCCCCTGCCCTGCCCCTGCCCTGCCCCTGCCCTGCCCCTGCCCTGCCCCTGCCCTGCCCCTGCCCTGCCCCTGCCCTGCCCCTGCCCTGCCCCTGCCCTGCCCCTGCCCTGCCCCTGCCCTGCCCCTGCCCTGCCCCTGCCCTGCCCCTGCCCTGCCCCTGCCCTGCCCCTGCCCTGCCCCTGCCCTGCCCCTGCCCTGCCCCTGCCCTGCCCCTGCCCTGCCCCTGCCCTGCCCCTGCCCTGCCCCTGCCCTGCCCCTGCCCTGCCCCTGCCCTGCCCCTGCCCTGCCCCTGCCCTGCCCCTGCCCTGCCCCTGCCCTGCCCCTGCCCTGCCCCTGCCCTGCCCCTGCCCTGCCCCTGCCCTGCCCCTGCCCTGCCCCTGCCCTGCCCCTGCCCTGCCCCTGCCCTGCCCCTGCCCTGCCCCTGCCCTGCCCCTGCCCTGCCCCTGCCCTGCCCCTGCCCTGCCCCTGCCCTGCCCCTGCCCTGCCCCTGCCCTGCCCCTGCCCTGCCCCTGCCCTGCCCCTGCCCTGCCCCTGCCCTGCCCCTGCCCTGCCCCTGCCCTGCCCCTGCCCTGCCCCTGCCCTGCCCCTGCCCTGCCCCTGCCCTGCCCCTGCCCTGCCCCTGCCCTGCCCCTGCCCTGCCCCTGCCCTGCCCCTGCCCTGCCCCTGCCCTGCCCCTGCCCTGCCCCTGCCCTGCCCCTGCCCTGCCCCTGCCCTGCCCCTGCCCTGCCCCTGCCCTGCCCCTGCCCTGCCCCTGCCCTGCCCCTGCCCTGCCCCTGCCCTGCCCCTGCCCTGCCCCTGCCCTGCCCCTGCCCTGCCCCTGCCCTGCCCCTGCCCTGCCCCTGCCCTGCCCCTGCCCTGCCCCTGCCCTGCCCCTGCCCTGCCCCTGCCCTGCCCCTGCCCTGCCCCTGCCCTGCCCCTGCCCTGCCCCTGCCCTGCCCCTGCCCTGCCCCTGCCCTGCCCCTGCCCTGCCCCTGCCCTGCCCCTGCCCTGCCCCTGCCCTGCCCCTGCCCTGCCCCTGCCCTGCCCCTGCCCTGCCCCTGCCCTGCCCCTGCCCTGCCCCTGCCCTGCCCCTGCCCTGCCCCTGCCCTGCCCCTGCCCTGCCCCTGCCCTGCCCCTGCCCTGCCCCTGCCCTGCCCCTGCCCTGCCCCTGCCCTGCCCCTGCCCTGCCCCTGCCCTGCCCCTGCCCTGCCCCTGCCCTGCCCCTGCCCTGCCCCTGCCCTGCCCCTGCCCTGCCCCTGCCCTGCCCCTGCCCTGCCCCTGCCCTGCCCCTGCCCTGCCCCTGCCCTGCCCCTGCCCTGCCCCTGCCCTGCCCCTGCCCTGCCCCTGCCCTGCCCCTGCCCTGCCCCTGCCCTGCCCCTGCCCTGCCCCTGCCCTGCCCCTGCCCTGCCCCTGCCCTGCCCCTGCCCTGCCCCTGCCCTGCCCCTGCCCTGCTCCTGCCCTGCCCTGCCCTGCCCCTGTCCCTGTCCTGTCCCTGTCCCTGCCCACCCCTGCCCCTGTCCCCTCACCCTGCCGCCCACCAGGCAACCACCCGGAGAGTTGCGCATGTTCATCTCTGAGATGTAGCTGGGGCTTGCAGGGAGCAGGAGCACTCCCTCAGCCATAGTCACTGGCTCTGGGGACAACTGCCCTTTGTCACTTTGGCAAGTAAGGAAGTAGGAGACCTGGGGCTGCACACCCCGGCCAGGGGCTCCACAGGGCCATCGGCCCCATCCAGAGGCCTTAGCACTGTCACTGGGCATCAGGCATTTGCGGGGTACCACCGAGATGGGACCGAGGGCACAAGGGTAGCCCACCACAGAGAGCTTGTGGGAGGACCAGGCTGTGCGGGGACAGGTGTGGGGACAGGTGTGGGGACCAGGCTGTGCGGGGACCAGGCTGTGTGGGGACAGGTGTGGGGACCAGGCTGCGCGGGGACCAGGCTGTGTGGGGGCAGGTGTGGGGACGAGGCTGTATGGGGCACAGCAGTGACCCGGGCCCTGCCTCCTTTCTGTCTTTCGGTGCTGGGAATCCTGATGATGCGGCAGCCGGGAGGGAGGAGCCAGTCCAGCCAAGACCCACAGCGTCCCAGAAGATGCCCAGTGTTGCGCTATGTCACCAGACCTAGTGGAAGCTCCCAGAGCTCAGGGGGGGCACGGCGGTGCAATGGGCAA